TTCTTTGACTTTTGACATGGTTGGTGGCCACCAAGCTTGACTTGGTTGGTTGCCTTGGTTGGTTGCCTTCCATTGTTGACATGAGGATCACCCCTTTCACATGGGGTGACCTCCAGAATCTGTAGGCGCGTGTGAAGGCTTCTTGGCTCTGTTTTTGCTGTTCTGGACTCCTCTCGGGGAGTTCTTCCTCCTGGTATGGTCAAAAGTGGATTTTGAGCACTTCGAAATCTGGGCACTTTCGGGAAAAATTCGATTTTTCGCAACCCGAGCTCTGATACCAATTGTTGCGGATCGGGGGCACACCAGGGAACTCAAACAAGCAATAACACACAAGATTTAACGTGGTTCGGCAAGTCGCCTACGTCCACGGGCAGCGGATTCACTATATTGAACAAAAGGGTAAGAATTACAACACTCTCTGTAATTCTCTCTCTCTGTTTGCTCTCAGCTCACACCTCTCAGCTGTACTTCTCAACTCTCCTTAGCTTCTCTATATATAGAGATTACAATGCAAGAGAAATTGAGCTGGCTGCCAGCCCATTTCGGTGGCTTTCCAGATTGAGGCTTCATGGCCTCATGGCCTCATGGCCAACTCACATGGCCTCATGGCTTCCCCACCATGTAGCTGGCTGCTACTTTCCTTCACATGGCCAGAATCTGTAGCCAACTCAACAAAGCTGACAGATCGAGCATGGTAAGGGCCTTTCGATCTCAAAGGAGAGGAAGCCATTTTTTTTCTCTAGTTTAGGAATAAGGCTTTAGCAATGACATGTAAAATTCAATTTTGCAATGTTGTGTTCCTTCCTTGGTATATGTATATATATGCCCACTGTATATCATGGTGGGAAGGAGACATAAGGAATCCTTCATCTTCAATTATAAGTGCTCTGTTGGCAATGTTTCTGCAATGTCTCCTCCCAAGTATTTTTAAATTGGAAAATCACATGCATGTCTTAACATAATATTGTTCCATGCAATAAGATACAAAATGGTTCATAAAATATGCAATGCGCGAGTGCAATTGATTCACTGTCTCCTCTTGCAAGAAAATGCCAGGACCATTAATCTTTCTCTTCTGCTCTCATCTTGTCAACGTGCAAGAAAGTGTGCGTGTTCATGCGTGTGCATCTTCTATCTACATTTTCTTTTTCATTTTCTTGTTTTACACAATAATTGTGAAATAGTGACAAAATGGCAACATGATGCGCTTTTCCTGTTGAGGTCTGGCTCTGTAGGAGACAAAATTATAGTCAAACATGTGAATGCTTGCACATGTACACATTTAATTACTGTTGCCAAGGTACATTATTATGATGCAATTATGTAATCAGGCTTCTCATGTTGCAAAACCAAACAAATAAATTGAACTTGAATAGCAGTGCCATCACATCGGATGAATTGAAGTTGAAGGCTATGAGTGGTAACAGAATTAGATGATCAGTGCTTCCAAATGTAGAGTCCTTCAGAAAACTCACACTTTGGCTTACCAGCCACCCTGATGAACATTTAATAGATTACTTTCAGTCAATTTAGGCAGGTTGCTACAAGACTGTTCTTGCGCACGGGAAGCTTGCCAGCAAGATCCACATGGCTTTCCCACGTCACTCCATAATTCACAGAGATGGAAGGCTAGGCTGGCTTAGCTAATACAAATTAGACTCTCCTCCAAACAGAGAGATAGCAAACACATTTTTGTTTATTAAACAATTAAAATCAGAGTTGAAACTTAAAACTAGAATATGAATCTCATAAAATTTTCAATCATTGTTTAATAATCCCCTTCAGACAATTGGAATCTCTTACCTCTTTGAAATTATTAAATTACATGACATCCATCCTCATGTAGCCTCAGTTATAACACATGCATCATTAAATACTTGCTTATATTTTGAATAAAATGAAAAGGAGTTTTAATTTTGAATCTTGAGGTCATTCAACATATCATGTTTCTTTCCCCACTAAATATTTTTTTCTTTAAATTTCATGTTTAACATTAAAATTGGAGAACTAACAAAGATGGAACAAAAGTACTAGTTTTATCTAGCTTCAAGTGATTAATGAATAAATGGCCCAAGGATAGGAAAGAAGTAGTGTATAAGAAAGAATTTTGTGCCAAGTATATTGATTTATATTTGGAGGAAAATTTACAAGTATATTTCTCATTTACATTTCAAGTATCTACAACATCAAGATTTTCTAGGCTAGTGGTTGAGAATGTTGAGGAGGGAAACTCTGGTTTTAATTGAACACCTTAGCAAGCGCTCTAGGACTTCTTCAAGATCTTGACTGCTCAACTCCAACTTTTCTAGCTGGTTTTGCACAATCTTGTTGTCACCAGATTTGCTTTGCTAGTGACCAATGAGCGAGTGCACTGCAGCATCAACCTTCTCGAACTCATTGACAGCTATTTTTTTGGCTTGACACGCCACAGCACTGACTGCTTCAACCTCTTTTAGCATGCTAAAAATGACAAGAGTTTCATAGTTGTTATGCAAGTCTAGAATCATGTTTTTGTTTCAAATCCTTGAACAACTTCCGGATGACCTTCTTCATCTTCTTTCTAGAGGTTAAGTATCCCCCAAAGTTACTTCCATCCCTCTTTCTGCGTAGGAATGAAAGAAGTTCTTTCACATCTTCCTTTGGCTCTGAGAAGATGTCTTTAGCTGTTGCACAAGCATCCAAGAGCTTGAGGTAGCCATCCAATGCCTCATTAAGCAGTTTCTCATGGCATTGTTGGGCCAAGCTTTGTTGAGTGAGTGGTAATAGAAGCAAATCATCGACACAGTCATACAAATCTTCAAGGCCACTTAGTCTGTTGCTTATTGATGGCAATGAAGAAAAGGTAGATTCAGAAGACCTCACTTGACACAAATGATCATTGAATTGGGGAATGAGTGGATGAGATCTAGGGGAAAGCTGACAGGGCGAGCATGGTAATGGGAGTTTGATATCAAAGGAGAGGAAGCCATTTTTCTTTCTGATTTGGAATGCACAATTCAAAACCACTGAGTTGTGTAGTGTCCCTGCCCTTTTTCTTTCTGATTTGGAATGCACAATTCAAAACCACTGAGTTGTGTAGTGTCCCTGCCCTTGGCAATGTATAGATTGTGAGAATATATTGTGTATTTTCCAAATTAGGCATGATTGTGGTTGTACATATTAGAGTCTTATTAGATGTGTGATTGTATTTTTTTTTTTTTTTTTGTTTAGGTGTGATTGTATTAGAGTCCTATTAGAGGTATGATTGTATTTTTCTTTTTTGGTTTAGGAGTTAGGGTTATATAATCTAAGGTCAGATTGTAACCATACACACAATTGAATATACAGAAATACAGAAAGCTTACATGGTATCAAAGCCACGTCCGAAAGCCTAGGTCTGGCCTTAATCATTCAAATCATTCGAAGTTTTTCGTTCCTACTTGCTGGGTCTTTCTGGGTCGATCGAAGCCAGCCCTCTCTGGGTCATGACAGTCACAACAGCCCCCTCCGAAACCACGAAGGTCTTTCTGGGTTGTGTAGTCTTCTCTGAAGTCGTGACAACCCTCTCTGTCTTCGCCGAAATCGCGATTGCCTTCTAGTGCTGGGTTTGAAGTCGCGAGTCTGGTCTGGGCTATGTTGCACGGACACGGACACGAGACACGACACAGACACGATACGGACACGCGAAAACCAAATTTTCAAAAAATAGGGGACATGATACGCTGGGGACACGTTTAATATATATAATTTTATTTATTTATTATATGTCTAAAATTTAAAAAAAAAAATTTATTAGTTCCTATACAATTATAATAATAATAAAATTAATAAACATATTTCTTAAATTGTTTTTAATAAAAATAATTTATTCTATAAAGTTTAGGTTTAATAAAAATAAAGATAAAAGAAAAAAAAAGGAGGGTTTTGTCGTAGGAATGACTTTGGTGAAATAGATGAAAGAGACGGGAGGAGAAAAAGAGAGAGAAGTGAAAAGAAGGGAGTGAAATCAAAAAGAGAGAATAGAATAGAAGAAGAAAAGAGAGACGAACCAGAGAAGATGAATCAGAGACGAAGACGAGCAGAGAAGATGAACCAGAGAAGAAGACGAGCAGAGAAGATGAACCAAAGCAGATAAGACGAAGAAGATTCAGGTTAGGGCTTCTTTGATTCATGTCTTTTGAACCGATTAGGGTTTTTTCGTTCAATCAATCTCTCCCTCGATCTGTTTCCCTTTTTCTCTCCAACAGCTTAGGGTTTTTCGATCTGTGTCCAGAAAGTGTCATCGCGTGTCCATCATGTGCCCAACTGAAAAAATTCAAAAAAAAAAGAGGACACGATAGAGGGCGTGTCGGACACGTGCCCACAGCGTGTCCGACGCGTGTCCGTGTCCGACACTCGTACACCAGCCTTGGGAACGTGTCGGTGCTTCATAGGGTCTGGGCTTGAGGGATCTCTCTCACTCTCTCGCAACCTCTGCTTTGGCTTTCTCTCTTGTCTCTGCTCTCGGTTTTGGTTCTGACTGGTCTTTGCTCTCACTGTCTGGTCTTTGCTCTCGGTTGACTTTATTGGGTTTTATCATTGTGCCCTATCAGTTCCTTTTTCTTTTATTTTTGGTTCATTACAATGTCGAAAGATAAAATCCAAGCTATTAAATGCAAGCTTACAAGTGACAACTATGCTTATTGGTCAAGTGTTATGAGAAATTTTCTTCTTGTCTCGGTAAAAAAAAATGGGGATATGTTTATGGTTCTGTTTCTCGTCCATCGAATCCCAAACAAGAAGAATATCTAAGTTCCTGTGACACTTGAAATTGTGATAATGCTCAAGTTTTGACCTGGTTCTCTAACTCTGAGGATGACCGTATTAGGATGATGTTCTCTAAATATAGCACTGCCAAAGAGGTATGGGATTACTTACAAAGTGTTTATCAGTAGTCCAACTTTGTCAAGCGGTATGAGTTGGAAACAGCTATTTAGGGAGCTCATCAGTGGGATCCGTTTATTCAAGACTTTTACATTGAGATATCAGGTTTCTGGGATCAATTAGCTCTCATAGAACCATGTAGTCTTAAGACACTAGACGCTTATGTTGAGTTTCGGGAGCAAGGTCGTTTAGCGCAATTCTTAACAGCTCTCTCCCCTCTGTATGAGGCTATCTATGGTGGCATCCTTCATTGGTCTCCTCTTTCCTCTGTGGATGCTATTGTTCATGAGCTCTTCTGTGAGGAAACCTGCCTTAAGACGACCAGTCAGACTCTGTCTCCATCTGTCTTCTTGGCCCCTACTCCGTCTCCTCTGTCGACGAACCCCCCACCTCATCAGCTTCAGGCCAATGGAAAGCCCAAAAAGGGGCCACTAACCTCTGATGAGTGTGCTTTTTTCCATTAGAAGGGCCATTGGAAGTACAACTGTCCCAAGAAAGGCCATCAATCTACTTAGTCTTCTCAGCCTCCTTAGCCGCAGTCCCGCGGTCTTACTCCGAGTACTTTTTGCCCTCCTGCTGCATATATTGCCTCTGCCCCGGCTTCTGATCCTGGCTTGGCTTCCTTGAGTGCCCAGATTGCTCAACTTTAGCATCTCTGGTCCACCTCTCAATCATCTTCATTTGCTTCTCTTCATTCAGGTTTTCTTGGGTCATCTTCAGGTATTCCTTCCTCTATCTGGCTTTTTTATTCTAGTGCCTCTCATCATATGATTCCTCACCTTTCCTTACTCCAAAACTGTATCCCCCCTCAATTTCCTATTACTATCAATACTGCTAATAGGTTTAGTATGTCTATCCTATCTATTGGGTTTGTTTTACCATCTACTATGTTTGCTGTTATTACTATTCTCTCTGTTCTTTATGTTCCTCAACTGTCTGTTAGCTTACTTTCTATTAGTCAACTTGACGTTTCTGGTTTTGATGTTATCTTTTCTTCTTCTGTCTGTTTTGTGCAGGATTGGGTGTCCAAGAAGCAAATTAGGACCGACCGTAGAGTTGGAGATCTCTATGTGGTGGAAAGCCTACATCTTCCTCTGTCTATCACCCCTGCTGCACTTTCATCTTTTCAGTTAGATTCTTAGTCGAGTCAGTTTTATTTATGGCATTCTCGCTTAGGTCATTTGCCTGTTGACTGCTTGCGGTCTTTAGCTCAGTTAGGATTGTTAGGTAAAGTTTCTTCTAGTCAAATTAATGAGTGTCAAAGATGTAAACTTACTAAAATGATAGCTTTACCTTTTAATAACGGTACTTCTATTTCTACTTCCCCTTTTTCTCTTGTATATACGGATGTCTGGGGACCTTCTCCTGTTCTCACTAAAGGGAGTTCTGCGTATTATGTGTCCTTCGTTGATGATTATACCCGTTATACCTAGGTTTATCTTATGGCTCATAAATCTGACTTCTACCAGATATATCCTGCCTTTCAATCTATGATCACTACACAGTTTGGGGCCACAGTTAAAATACTCCGGTCTGACTTGGATAGGAAATACTTTAAAACTGAATTCTGTGAGTATTTGGCCAAATTGGGCACCATTTACCAAACCTCCTGTACTGATACCTGCCCAAAATAGTTATGCTGAACATAAATCCCGTCATCTCCTTCAGATAGCTTGATTTCTTCTTCTCTTTGTCTTTGTTCAGGGACCATTTTGGGTGAGGCAGTTCTTACCGTTGCTTTCCTCCTTAATCGCATGCCGACTCCCTTACTCTCCGGTCGATTCCTTTATGAGGCTCTGTATTCCCAACCTCCCAATTATTCCCTACTACATGTCATTGGGCCGGCTTGTTTTGTCCTCATTCCCTGTAAAGATAGGATCAAACTCAGTGCCTGGTCTGTCTTGTGTGTGTTTTTGGGTTACAGTCTTACTCAGAAAAGACTATCGCTATTACGATCCTGTCTTTCGTCGCCTTTATGTCTCCCATCATGTTGCCTTTCTCGAACGTTTGTCTTACTTTCAACTTCCCTCTCTTACTGCTCCAGTTTCCAAAAATGATTTGGTTCACATTGATCCATTTCATTTTGAGGTCTTGTCTGATGAGTACATCTCCACTGTTCATCCTGAGCTTGTGCTTCACCTCTGGCTACTTCTCTTCCTTCGGCTTCTCCTCCACCTCCGTTGTTAGTTTATTCTCGTCGCAAGTGTAGACACCCCATTTTTGACCGACCTCAAGACTTGGACGTCACCGTTTGAACACTCAGCGATCATCCATGTTCGTGTTCGTTTTGAGATCCCGAAGGACTCGACTGCGCGCCTTGCCTTAGGATCTCTCGACTCGACTGTTTTGTGCTTGGTTGTGGACAAAGAACTTGTTTGTTTTTGCACCTGAGGGTAGGAGGTGGCTTGTTAGCCATCCCCTAAAACCCACCGGCCGTGGCATGAAGCCATCAGCCTTGCTTTTTCTGCTACCGACCAAATATTTGGTCGGTCGGCACTTCTTTTAGTGTATCGGCTCTTTGTGTGGTCGGCCAGCCATTTATTTGGCTGATAGTCTCTTTATCTGGCCGATACCTCCTTTTTACTTTTTTCAGGCATTGTGCATGCCAGCTGTGCCAGCTGGAGTGCACGGGCCTGTCCTCCATACGTGTATGGAGGAATTTGCACCCTTTGCACCCTTTTGGTCTAGCTTCTTGAGGAAGCTTGGACCTTTGTCTTAGCTTCCTCAAGAAGCCTTGGCCCCTTAGCCTTAGCTTCTTTAAGAAGCCTTGACCCCTTTTGTTTAGCTTCTCTTGGAAGCTTAGGCCTTTGCCTTGTCTATATAAGAGGGCCCTCCCTCTCCTTGGAGGGGTTCAGCAAAAAAAACCAGAGATATATGATAAATACAACTTTCTCCCTCTATATCTCTCTCTCTCTCTTCACTTGTGTGTGTTAGAGGGCCTAAAAGTGTGTTTTGTTCTTAGTTTTGCACTAAGACACCTAGTGTTACACCTTGCCTTGGTTATTGAGGCGTTGAGAGTTTGTTCTTAGAGCTTTTGAGTTGGTTTTGATCAGAAAAGAGGGCTGGAGTTTTGGTTCTTGAAGTGTTCTTCAAGGGTGAGCACTATTGCTTTATATTTCGAATTCTTGCACTAGCTTTTAACCTACTTTTCATGCTGTTTTGAGCTTTGTGTATAACATATAAAAGTTCTGTTTTTTTGCGTTTAAGATACTTCATTAAGGTCACTTTGGTGTTGGGGGTCGTCCACCCCCTCTTTGGCCTTGTTTGGCCCTTTTTGTGCTTTCTTTGTTGAGCTTCGGGAACCTTCGTGTATTAGCCTTCTCGCCACTGAAATCAAGAGGATTTTTAGTGGTGAAGAAGAGGTTTTGAGGTCATGGATAGGGGAGGGACACCCCTTTCCCTTTGTCTCTCTTTTGCTTATGTTGTTGGCTCATAAGAGTAGCACGCATGCTTAGTTGTTTTTAGCATCATTTCAGTAGGTATTTGGTGATATTTGGTCATATTATACCTCTGTTTTTAGTTGGTTTGATGGTCCATTTCATGCATCATATGCTTGCCTTGTAATCCCATGTTTTGGCCTAACATGTATCATGTTGTGAGATGACATTTTAGCATGATTTTGGTTTGACTCCATGAAGCTTTTAGTCCTATTTCATCATGTTTAAGGTCTGTCTTGGGTCTTTAGGGTCATGTTTGCCATGTTTTGTATAGTCCTTTTACATTCTAGCTTGTAGGCCTTGAGTGTGTGAGCCATAAGCATGTTGTAGTTGGGTTGTTTCAGTGATTTGGAGTCAATTCCCATGCTATTTCAGTTCATAATCCATGCTTGTGGTCCATTTCATGCATCATATGCTTGCCTTGTAATCCCATGTTTTGGCCTAACATGTATCATGTTGTGAGATGACATTTTAGCATGATTTTGGTTTGACTCCATGAAGCTTTTAGTCCTATTTCATCATGTTTAAGGTCTGTCTTGGGTCTTTAGAGTCATGTTTGCCATGTTTTGTATAGCCCCTTTGCATTCTAGCTCGTAGGCCTTGAGTGTGTGAGCCATAAGCATGTTGTAGTTGGGTTGTTTCAGTGATTTGGAGTCAATTCCCATGCTATTTCAGTCCATAATCCATGCTTGTGTGCTTGCATTCATCATCCCTTTTATGCTTTGAAGAGTCGTCCTTTTGTGCCTTGAAATGGGTCATAGTGCATGCCTTTTGTTTAAGTCATTTGGGATGCCATTCATGTGGATTTTGGG